CACACACACACACACACACACACACACACACACACACACACACACACACTGCTGTAATGGAGCCAAGGCAGCAGCTGCTACTTCGCTACTGTAATTCTCTGAAGTGTTGGCCAGAAAACCCTGTCTGATCCTCACCCAGTATGCTCATGGAAGAAAAACAAGAGGAGTGAGTGTGTGTGTGTTTCAGGAAAAAAATGTTTGTGAGCATGTTAACGATGAAGTATTCAGCTTCTCCATTCTGTCTTTCTGTTACTGTATAATCTCTAAAAAGAAGAAAAACAGCAGCAAACAAACGCCTTCATGCAGTGGATGTAGAGAAACCTACACAAGCCCATTGCTCCAGTGAGCTTTCATAATCAACCTCTGCTGCACAGCTTTACGCCCCACGTACTGGATCATATTCCAGTCTTGCTTTGAAATAATCTTTGGTGAAAACCAATGAAACCAATGAAAGACCGGAGGTTATAAGCCCCATTAGCCAGAATTGTACTGAGATACAGTCACAACTGGATAGTTAGTGTTACTAAAATATGAACAAACAAATAGGATACACAAAGAAACATTAAGTTCTGCTTTATTACTTCCTTGCATTTCTCATTTATTTACACGCATCTTTTTTGAGATCGTTAAAACTGTTTTGCAAGGCTGTGAAAAAAGACCCTGTGGATCTTCCCACTTCATCCTGCAGCACTGTTCTGGCAAATAATCTCTATTCACTCTGGGAAGTTGAACTGTTCTGAACACTGAAAAAATGTAACAACCAGGGAAGATGAAAAACCAGATGTTTCACCAGATATCAAAACTCCAACAATCTGATTGCTGAGGCCGGTGTCCTAAATCAAATAATGGATTTTATACCCATGAAAGAAGTGTTTGTCTGAGGAAACAAGAAGACTCACTCCTCCTTTTGCCTCTTTACTCACTTTCCTCTGTGGCAGATCACACAAAAAAAACATTCTTACAACTTTCTTCCATTGGCCCGGCTCCTTCACATCTATGTGACCCGTCCACTCGGTGGCCTAAGGGGATCTCTGCATCCAGTCGTGAACTGCAGCCGTTTCTTAAGTAAGTTTCACCACAGACCTTTCTGCAGGAGCTGCTTGTGAATTCACCGCGCGGTGAAACTCAACACAAGCAGAAAGTGAACCGCATCTTTTGGGGTTTGAGAGTCAGAGAGAAAAAGGGTGCTGCTCGGGGGGAGGGGCAGGGCGGGGGCGCTGGACAAAAATGATGAGGGACCTTGGCGTTATCAGCCTCGCCCCGGAGGCCCCGCTGAATAAAAGATGAACTATCCGGGACTCTGTATATATCACCAGGAATGGGCCAGGCGAGGGGAGCGAGCGATAGGAAGAGATACGGAGGGAATGAATGAACTATCGTTGAGGACGCTGTGAGAGGGCACACATAACCTACGTATTTCGCCTTTAATGGAAGTTATAAAGGCTGATCGTCAAGTTGCACAGAACAAAGCCATGTGCGTTTGACCAAATTTATCTCTGTACATTTACAACTTTACCCAACACCGTCTCCCTCTCCTCCTTTCAGTGATCCATTTCCTTGCTGGGCGAGTGAGGGGCCGGTGGCAGCTAAGTGGTATCGATGCGACACCAACATGATTAAGCACACATTGGACAACTGGATGGAGGACAGTAAATTGCACAGGATGAATGTGTTCCACTGCGTAAGATGACGGACTAATAATTAATGGGTCAATAACAAAAGGTTACTGCTGCTGGTGACGGGGGACGAACACATCCCCAAGCTATACATCATATTTACAGACCAACACTTCATCTTCAGAATACATGCACAACTCATGTCAATCTAATGTATAGATAGAGATATTGAGGTATATATAGATTTATAGATAATATATATATATATTGCACGCAACAGGGTGGCTAATAACTGTCCCATACGGGGGAGCTGGGGACTCGGTTGCCTGTTTGGCTCATACATTGCAGCTGGCAATAAATGATGGATTCAACCCATTTGTTTATCGGTTATCGTTGAAGCCTGGCGGCTTGTTAGGCACTTCAACCCAAGCATGCACACTAAAACTGCCGGTTAACAGTTAATGATCGGTTATCAATCAGAAAAAAAACAACGAAATTAGCATCCCTAATATAAATAGAGAGCGATAGGTAGGTAGAGATGGATAGGTAGACAGGAGAGATTGTCTGAACATTAAACCAACCTGAAACCGGGTCAGATATGACGTGAATTCCACTCGTCTGCTTGCCACATAATCAGCTGTTCCCTGTGACTACGAGGGCTTAGCCCACATTCTCTAGAGTTAGATATAGTCTGTAGATAGATGCAACACTTGGTTTTTCCTTTTATTTGTTACCCATCTGTCTGTATAGAGTTAGGAGAAACCCACTCAACATTGTGAAAAAATGGTTCCAATGCCCCAAAAAACAAAACAACTCCAAGAGTAAACTTAAATGACAATTAAGGCAATTGCCGAAAATCGACAAGGTCATTTGTTTCTTTTTCAGATGCTTTTATTTTCACACCAAATTATCATTTGAAATTCCTTGCCTTATGGCAGTGGGTATTAAATCTGACTTCATCTCCAGCTATGTTGAAACACAGCAGATGAGCGTTCAACTACACAAACAAAGGAGACCTCATAACCTGTATTTTAGCTTTCCTACGTTAGCTTTGATGGGATTTACCAATTGTTTTTAAAAATATTTGTCCCAATACCTTAGTTTCTATGTCTCTAATATTCAAATTGTGATCTCTCACAAGACTATTTTCTCCCTCGAGTCCTTAGAGTTAGACTTCAGACCAGCGATGTCAGTGAATTTGCATCTGGAATAATCTGTCTAAATTTCGACCTACCTTGAGATTCATTTTTGTAACTGTCTTTCAAAGTCATGTCTGATAATGGTTTCCATTATGTTACCCTCGTTATATTGCATAGTTTACTTTATCATTGCTATCTAAGCCATACCACAGAGCTGACGCTAATGCCCTGGTCTCCCATCAGTCAGGGCTAATTGGAGATAGAGCGACTCCCTCCATCACACTGCCACCAGTCCATCCCGGGACGCACTAATTACTGAGCTCGTGATGCTGCGGTCGATAGCTTGCCCGAAGCTCAGCAGCCGGAGGGGCTCGTCGGTTCAGTAAAGAACGATGCACTGCTCATAGGCAGCAGGACGGGAAGAGGAGGGGCCAGAGACATACAGGCATTTAGAGATGAAAGGCTAGAGAGCAATGAGAAAGAGTTCAGCCTGACAGCATCCTTTTCTCTGTTGCCAGTGAGACCGATTAAGTAATTGATTGTCAGGATTAGAGGAAGATTTGACTCTGATATTCACCGTCCTGAAGGTCAAACTTTGAGGAAATTAAACACTAAACACAATTTATGAAGACAGGGAGATTAATCTTTACCAACTGTAGACCTGGGTTTTGGACAAATGCCAGGCCAAAGGTGGGTACGAAATATGAAAATTAAACACATCGCTGCACCATCGCCAAAATGATCATTTGCGAGAGAGTGTAGCACTGAAACGCCATTAATCTCTTCATTTATTTTTCCACTAAAAAGGTTTGCCTATTGAATGTCAGAAAATGGTTAAAACAGGTGGGCGGATCCATTAATTCTTAAGTTTTATATAATTATGTAGCTTCCCAGTGGTATTCATGTGTTAAAATCGGAACATTCAAATTTTGGTGGACGTACATATGTTGTAGCGTTAGAATGCCATTTTCCCAAAGTGCTTCTAAAAACCTTTTCCCACATGACCCGATGTAGGTTTCTGCATGACGATACAAACATACGTACATCCATAGTCATGTAATACCCGCAGTAATTAAGA